AGATAGAAAATAGATTTCGTGTCAGGTCCACTCCACCATGTACCCCAGTAGGGCATGTCCCACAACTTTAGTAGCACCCCATATTAAGAATGTACATATATAATATGGAACATATTACCTCCCAACCAGGTCCCCATGTACACCCACCCATTACCCTCCCCACCAGTCGGTCCACAATCTCCTCACGTATTAGCCAATCCCCCTCAAGATGTCCCTAGTTATACCAGTGTCAAGAACAAGCTGAACCTAATCCCTCCTCCCCCAAACCCCTCCAACCCTCCAGAGGTTCCCCAACCACCCGTCCCATACTGAAAGCTGAAAACAGTGTCCCCCATCCTTGCGATAAGAACCCATAGAGGGTCAGAAAACCAAAACCCTCCTCCCCTGTCAGAAACAACTGCCACAGCCTGTAATGCCTAAATGCCCTGTCATTGTTGTACATCACTAAGTATGTCAGGCCAAGAGCTACATGCTAGGAAGGGAGAAGGTAGGACCACCACTGATTATCCCCAGCCCTGTGTAGGAAAGGGCAGGGATACAATGGAAGAACTGCTAAGCTTACTGTTTCCCATGTGCCCACCTAAGAACTCCCCCTTCCCCGCATTATTATTTTTTTTTAATATAAAATACGTGTTCGTGATAAGGTCAGCAGATGTTTGGGCCCACCCCCCAGTCCCTTCCTCCTGGACTGCAATCCGTCCCCTACAGCTTGTCAACTCCAAGCAGGTAGACGTCTAACCAACAGCCGCTATTGTTTCTTTTAAGTTACACTTTCACCCCACCAACTACCCCAGCATGATCACATACATAAATTTGGTGGTTCAGGGTACTTGAGCAAACCAGAAAAGAAAGTCTAGTGTTGGAAAACATAGTCATGCAGGAGGATTTAACCTCCCTTTTATTATTATGGGGAACATAGTGACCCCCATAGGTTTTTATGCAGGGGACGGGGTATGAATTGTTAATATTTATTACAAGGACAGAGCTGGTAGCACTGCCGGCTACATCCTTGCTTTTTTTTTTTTTTTATAGGCGCTTGCACAGTGTTATTTTTTGTCCTAATGGGTGAAAACAAATTATTTTTTCCGAATTTCGTCCGAAAAACAAATGTTTTACAGATAAAATTCGGAATGGACGAATTACATTTTTATTTAGTATGAATTCATTCATACGAAACAAAAATTTCACTGGTGCACATGTCTAATCATCAGTACTAATTGGGCTAGGCACCTCCGATCCGAGTGCATCTGGCTAGGGGAGAGCTATCCAGGGATGGTACCAGTTTGGGGATGTGGGCACAGGGACTTATGTTTTTGGAGTATATTATTGTTTGGTGCTGAGATGTCTGGTCATTAATAATGTTATCTTGTCAGGTCTTGTTATAGACACCCAGGGGTCAGGTTTTGTGATATCCAATTGTTCTCCTGGTGACCTTTGTTGGAGACCCAGGTATAAAAAGTAACATTTACTCCAATAAAGTGTACTTAATTTACCATTACATTCAGCCTCGGCTAATGACTAAGGATGAGTTATATTCACTCTAGGGCTAATCTCTAAGGGGGAAAGGGAGTGCTTGGCAAGAAACTCTGGTCACCTAGGAGCAGTCCACCACAAAGGGTTAATATTGGGGGGTACATATTGGGGAAAAAAGAGGCAATTGATAACTGGTTTGAGAATATAAGTAGACTGGTGTAATATACACTGCAGTGCATATGTATGTTATATACAGTCATGGTATAAAAAAAAGTATATCTCTTTGAATTTTATGGTTTTACATATCAGGACATAACAATCATCTGTTCCTTAGCAGGTCTTAAACTTAGATAAATACAACATCCGATGAACAACCGCACATGACATGTTACACCGTGTCTTGATTTATTTATCAAAAATAAAGCCAAAATGGAGAAGCCATGTGTGTACACAGCTCTGTACCCACTCTCTATCCTGAGGGAGCTTTGTGGTCAGCACTTTTTGGAGCACATCCCTTTAAGAGTTGCTGGACTGTGGAGGAGCTCTTAAAGCGATCTGCACCTGATATTGTACATTTGTGTATAGTATTGGTGTTTGAGTGTTTCTATATAATTTTAGAGTTAGAGTTATTATTATTGTTATTTTATTATTTATATAGCGCCAGCTAATTCCACAGCGCTGTGGACTAACAGACACATAATTGTAACCAGACAAATGGAAGCACAGAACAGAGGGGTTGAGGGCCTTGACAAATACAAACACCTTGGCACACAGATACACACACATACTGGGACAATTATATACACATACACACACTGACAGATACACACTTGCACATACACACACAGAGACACACACACTGACACACAGATATACACACACATTGATACACAGATACACAAACTGGCAAACACAGATTCACACACACTGACACAGGTACACACACACACACACATATGTTTAACTTTTCTCTTCACTTACCTTTTTTCTGCAGGAGGGTTTTCAGTGCTGTTGGCTGAGGTTGGTGTGCTGCTTATTCCACGCTGCTCCCTCTCTCCCTCCAGCCGGCATGCTCTGTCTGTCACTTCCTCCGGCATCCCATGCGACAGGAGTCTTGTCGTGGTCTTAGACGGCCGCGGTGCCTGACCGGACCCCTGTTTAGCGATACCCATCAGGTGGCCACCCAAATGCTTGGGCCACTCGACGGGCATATCGCCGAGGAACACCAATTTTGTTCTTGCGGAAACCCTAGGGTTCCACAGAACACCAATTGAGAAACGCTGCCCTACACAAACACAATACTCAGATTGCACCACATAAAAATTCAGCCTCCACACACACAACACTCAACCAGCACACATACAGCTCTCAGCCTCCACACACATCAGACTCACAACACACACTCCCACACACACACAACGCTCACAGAAACAGAACCCAGAGTTCTAGGAGGGGACCCCAGTTGGGTATTCTGCCTACTGCCCTGGGCAATCTAATTCCAGCTCTGCATTACCTGATCATGATATTATATTATATGGAGATATCCAGGGCACTCCTGGTATCATAACAACTACAGCATGTTATAACATTTATGGTGCTTGGAATATTCCTTTAACACCTAAAACAGTTCTGCAAGCTGGAGTGTTTTAGGTGTTTGGAGTCCTTAACTTTATTTACCTTTGTTATCTTTTATTGTTATTAACTTTAATAATTGTTTATAAATACTAGTCGGTTGTTTGATTAAGTGGATTCTTGATCTGTTTAAATGTGATTTATGATGCAGGTAACACTAATGTTGTTCTTTAAGATTTCTGAGAATGATTATAATATAAATACAGACCTCTGGTTTGTTTCAGAATGGATTAACACTCAGATGATTTTTTATAGTAAATCCAGCACAAGAAAATGTTTAATTTCTTAGTTGAGCTACTTGGAAATGTGGAAGAAATATACATAATGAACTTAATAGACAACGAAATTGGTAAATGTTTAACCAATCTAATGTCAGTCACATAAGTGGTTAAAGAAACGTGCAATGCTTTCATTTGTAGATACGTAATAACTGCTATACAGAATATATGCTTTAGACAAAAGATGGACAGCTACATCTTGTCTTTAGAACTGATAACTTCATGTACAGTGTGTGGTCCCATTGGGGGATCTTCCAGACATCATCGCATACTTGAGTGGCACAGAAAGAAAAAAGGTGGCAGCACCGAATGGCAAAAACCGGTGATGAGTTAATCTCTCATTCATTTATTCCACCACCCACAGTACATGTTACCTGAGTGTTTCTTTACAGAATTGCATGAGATCCCTTGTTTAAACGTATAGATTTCTACTTGCAATTGAGTTCATTGACTAAAGCACAAACATAATATAATTAACAAGTTAGCCTGCAAGCTGCTTAGTGTTCGGGGCACCCTGAACCAATTTTCATGTCTGAGAGCAACAACGCAGTGTTGAGCTCTTGGAATAGGTGGCAGCTTGGAATAGGTGGCACACCAGGGAGGAGGGGGGAGGAAAACTAAGGGACGAGGGGGACACTAAGGGACTGGGGAGGGAAGGGAAGGGAAGGGAAAAGAAACATAGGGAGTAGAGGCACTAAAAGAGAAGGAAGGGGAACACTAAGGGGGACACTAAGAGACAGGTAAGGGGGGTGGAGAAACACTAAGGGACAGGGGAGGAAAGGGAAAAGCAACACTGAGGGGGGCACCACTAAAAGAGATGGATGGGAGGAGAGAAAAACACTTAGGGGGTGAGGGACAGGTAAGGGTGGGAGGAACACTAAGGGGGTGGGCGGGACAAAGATACAGGTAAGGGGGCGAGAGGAACACTAAGGGGCAGGAGGGGTATGGGGGCGCTAAGAGACAGGTAAAGGGGGGGGACAGAGGAACACTAAGGGACATGGAGGGGAGAGGAACACTAAGGGACAGGGAAGAGGACCACTAATGGACAGGAGAGGACCACTAAGGGACAGGGAGGGGAGGAACACTAAGGGTCAGGCAGAGGGCCACTAAGGGACAGGAAGGGGAGAGGACCACTAAGAGACTTGGAGGGAAGTGGAGAGGAACACTAAGGGAAATGGAGGGGAGTGTGGCACACAGTGTGGCCTGAGTGGGGAGAATGACACACAGGGAGACATGAGGGGGGAGAAAGACACACAAATGGTCCTCAGGGTGAGAAAGATGCACAGAGGGGCTGAGGATTAAAGAGACAGACAGAAGGGCCTGGGGATGGAAATACAAAGGGGATGGGGGTGAAAGAGACACAGAGGGACTGGAGAAGAGGAAAAAGAGACACATAGGGGCTGGAGGGATTTAAACACCCAAAGGGGGGCTGTAAGAGATACACAAGAAAGGTATACGACACACAATGGGGAAAAATAGGGGATAAGATACACAAAAGAGGGTAAGACATTTAAAGAAGAGCATAAGAAACAAAAGGTGGGTTAGCAGGCACACAGGTGAAGATTTTTTTTATGGGTGGAGGTGGGGGGCACCAAAATCATCTTCGCCTGTGTACCTAAAAATCTTTGCACCTGACCTGACAACAGGTCCTCGCAAGAGTAGCAGGTTTTCCAAGATAATTGGGCAAGAAAACTAGACCAACTTTCAACTATCAGGCAATGCTCTGACACATGCAGTAGAGAAAGGCTGGTGTTAAAAAGGGTGCTAAAAAGAGACTGGACCCCCAGAAGACTTGCATGGGACCCTGACACAAAGATAATGGATATATTTTTAACAAGGGATTAGGGGTTAAAAATAAAAATATATGGAAAAACAATGCTCCATTTGTTGAAAATGATAATTCATTATTAATATTTGTGCTAAATTTCAGTGTGGATATATTAAAATATTTAATAGTTATTCCGCTATGTTTACAATACTATAAAGGAGGACATTTAACAATCAATGAGACAATTACAAAATGTTACGGGAACAATAGGTTGATGAGGATCCTGCATGAAAGAGCTCACAAGCTATATAAACACTGGATTGAATTAGCTTAAATATTAATCATCGAAATTCTCTAAGCAGTTACTGGTGCTTTCAGTAGCATCTTTGGGAAGGAGGGGTGACATTTCCTTCTGTAAGTTATAATCTACAATCTGGTCCCCATCACTGCAATGCTAAAGAATGCTTTACCTAGAGATTCATATAAACAAGATTCCTATGTTGGCTATAGACCACAAGGAAGCACAGGAGGAGGGTTTCAGACAATTATCTGATGAGTTTAATGTTGGTGTGTACTTTGTCAAAGTAATTCACAACTTTTTGTTGGGAGATCTTTATGTAACAACTAATTTTTTTTTTTTATTCTTTGCTTTTTAAAAAAGTTTTTCTACAAAAAGAAAAAGAAAATAAATCTACCAGTAAAGTATTCCTTGCATACAGTATTAATGTTACCAACAACACAGCTAAAGGTCTATCAGGAGTTCTTGAATATATACAGGAAGAAAATGGGCCAATTAGCCAAAATATATACATATATATTTCACAGTATACTGATAGGAGCATTTTCCCCTATTGTATTCACAGATCAGTTGAGAAAAAGTACCCAACAGAAGAAAGCATATATTTATTTTGGTTGGTTCGTGATTCAGGTACATTTCGGCCTGGCGTTCGGGAATTCAATAGAACGCCTGATCAGCCCAAAATTTGGATGAATTTCAGTTTGGACTGAAACAAATTTTCAAGTCTTATTGATCAAAGTATTTCCTATACGTGGAGTCTTAGAGGAACAGTGTTAAGAAAGGCAACTTCACCTACATCATAACAAATATCAATATGCGAAATTCTCTGTCTAAAGAGGTTGTTTTATAAGATTTTATAGTTTTTTAAGAAAAGTCTGGATGTTTTTTGTGAGAAACATAATCATTATTAGTATCTATAGGGACATCTTCTTGATCCAAGAAAAAGAACTATTGCCATTATAGAGGGAAGAAGGATTTTTCTGACCAAAGACCTTTCATAATTTAAATAATTAAAATTGCTCAAAGCCAATTTTTGAGATTCCCAGTGCTTGAGCGTGATGTTATAACTATTGAAACACACTACGTTAGGATAACCTGCAGGGATTTTTTGGGGATCGCTGTGGTTTCTGATCAAGACGTCTTAAAACGTGCCATACTATTGGGAAACCTTAAGCTCAGGAAGTGAATTGAAAAAAAAAACGTTAATGACCATTACCAGTAAATCATATTTTCAGCTAATGCCAAAGTGAAAAAATAATTCAACTAGTATTAATATTTACATCTCAAAAATGTATTGTCTTATACAAATGGCCTTCCAACACTTTGTTCCTTTGTATCTCTGTTTTGAATGTATATAGTATGTGCAAGGTTGAAAGTTTCCACTGTTGAATCAATCTGAGATGATAGAAAACAAACCCAATGGATTAGTTAAAACTATGTTGCCTTTTAAGTGAGGAAGAGCCAACTGTTCAGAATGAATTAGTAATTATATGTATGTATTTGAATATGTTACAAGAGTAGAATAGAATAATATGAGAAGCTATAGGTTTATCTATTTTGAAGCTGTTTACTTTACCCTCCAGCAGGGATTGTACCACTTTAAGCTTGTTATTTATGAGCATAGTGTTGCTCTGGACAACGTGAGTAATATCTTTTACATTTGGTAATTTGTTCATTATTAACAGTATAATTTTTACCTCTTTGTTTAGTTCTATGCTGAAACAATCCAAAGCCCTTGAGATAATTGACCAACAAAAAGTGTTTATTATCCTTGGTGGGTAATATACTGCACAGTCTGCTACTCCTTGAGCTGCTGATTAATCTTTATAGCAGGTCTGGTGTGAAGGGGAGGGACATTACCAGAAGATTCACAGGGTTACAGAACATACTTAAATAAAAAGAGGAACGCTAAGCTGGGGAAGGGAAATGAGGAACAACACTAAGGAGGTTGTGTTGTGTAGATAGTGAAATAATTTGTGAGGGAGACTACGTGTTAATATAAAGTAGGGTGAAATGAAAGAAAAATATCTGGAAATGAATTTTAGCTAAATGAGCTGTGAAAACATTGATATATACAGGAGGTAAAAGTAGGAGGACTCTAAACTAAAGGGTAGAAAAATGGAATCTATCAACCAAAAACCAAACCAAGAGACAATCTGTTGGAGGATAGGTGGGGATAATATCAGTTGGAGGATACATAAAGTCAGCAACATCTTGCTGGCAGCACAAGCACAGTGTACATCTACCTTTTTTCTATTCAGTAATGAAATTGCTAAGGTTGTTTTGGTTTGTTAACATCGAGAACCGAGTGCCATAAGTATTAATGAGAACAACTGGAAAAACCACATAGTGCTACATATGTGAAAACCTAAATGAGGAGAACAGTAGGTAATAAAGTTACAAATGGGAAAATAAAGTAAATGTGATTCAAAGGAGATGAGCTAAACATTAGTCAAGAGTACACAACAGAGAGACTAAGGTGGTATATGAGATGGGAGAAGGAACAAAACTAAGACAAACAGAAATTAAAGAAGGGAGAAGATTGTCACAAATAGCACATGTGACTACTAGACAGAAAAAGTATAAACTTATAAAAGACACTGATAATCACAAGTGGAACAGACAAATTAATGTCTTAAACTGTTGACAAATGAGTGTTCAAAACTGGGCATAGACCACGTGTAAGTTTAACAGTAAGAAAAAGATAGAACGATGCCACACGAGATACATAAATTTAACAAATAAACCTTTACAAGATATCACAAGTAAGAAAGGTCACAAAAAACAGGGGACTACAAGAAAAACTGAAGTAGAATCAAGGATGAATAGTGGAAATGTATAAAAAAATCTTTAGAAATGTCCAAGAAAGGGTCATGTCGAATGTTCCAAAACATGACAAAAACAAATGAACCCAAAAGAGAGACATAATAGCAAGTAAAATGCAGACATATTAAATACTATATGGCAAGAGCAACTCGACAATGTTCACATATACTGGTATCAGCAATTGTGTTTTTAGATTTTAGTTAATGTGTTGAACCTTTCTAGTCTGTGTATTTTTCTGACTTTTTTATTGTTTGTTTCAGTATAACAAACAAGAGGACAAGCGGATACAACAAATCTAGCAATTACAATTCCATGTGCTTTAAAGATCCAAAGGGTGGAGAAGCTATTCTAACTTCCTCCTGGTTGCTCAGATGTTATAAACATCTAATTGTTTTTAGGAATTTGTTTGATTCATTTTAAAATAGTCAGGTTTATTCAATAAAGTCGAGAATTCAATTTGAATTAAACGTGAATTTAAAATTTAAGGGCAAAATAGCTGAGCTGGAAAAATTGCTTTCAGTTCAGCTAGTCTGGTGTTAAAATCGATATTCACTTTGAATTCAGTTTAGATTCTCACTTTAGTAAATAACTCTGACAATATTAATACGAATCAGATAAATGCATACAAACAATATGATGTTCTAGCAGCCAATGTCATGAGCTTTAAAGGGACACTTTGGACTCCGAAATCATTTTAGCTTGCTGAAGTGTTTTATGTGTGAAAAGTGGGTCCTTTTTTTCCCCATTTATTTCCCTTTTTTTTTTTTTAAATACATTATCCTTGTTAGACCTCCTGGCAGTCAATCAAACAACCCATCCTGTTACTTCCTGGTTGTTTAGTTCAATGTAATTAAAATCAAGAGGCAGCAATTGTCCACAGCACCTGCCATGCAGCATTGGGGAGTCTGTGATCGGACCGCCACAGAAAGTTAGAAGGGGAGCTTGCAAAGGCTGCAGACAAGTGAACTGCGTGTTTTACAAGCTTCTTGTAGATATACACCTAAATAAAAAAAGTAAAAAGCATAATTAAATACATACATATTTTCATTGGGGGAATATTTACTTAACTGTGATTTACTACAACGGACATCCTCTAAGGCTGCACAAGCAGCTTCTTAACTGTGATTTACTATTTTGTATTGTGACAGTGGAGTGTCCTTTCAAAGGAATGCTTTGCTTTAGAATGAGGTTCATAAATGCTATGAGCCAAAATGAAACTCTGCTAACTTGGAGAGAACAGTTTTGTTCACTTGGCTTACCTCATGCAGAGGTGAGAAGTTAATACAACCACTTCTTGGAATGTAAGGTGAACATCAACAAACTGAATTGGCCAAGAAGCTCCCTGTGTCTCACATAATTTTTTTTTTAACAGCACTCGCGGACCCACATTAGCAGGTCCATCTGAAGCTAATGACTGGGGTTATGAAAAGAACACTTTCTAGTGGACATCCATCCTCTGGAGTTCTGTGCAGTTCAAAGCTTTGTAATGAGATGTCTGTGGCGGTTGGGGAGGAGGGTGGTTTCTGTGATATAGAATTGAAACACAGGACTCAACTGAACTTGTATACATCATCATTTTGCTGCCGGGACCACTTGATATAATGTATATATATTGATGAGCCACAACAATAAAACCACTGACAGGTGCAGTGAATAACATTAATTACATAGTTACAATAGCACCTGTCAAATGGTGGGATATATTAGGCAGCAAGTGACCAGTCAGTTCTTAAAATGTATGTGTTGGAAGTAGAAATATTGGCCAAGCGAAAAGATGTGAGTGACTTTGACAAACCAAATAGTGATGGCTATATGACTGGGTCAGAGCATCTCCAAAATCACAAGTCTTGTGAGGCGTTTTTGGAACCAAAGTAGTGCAAGAAAGGACAACTGGTAAACCGGTGTCAGGATCATGGCACCCAAGCCTCAGTAATCCACATTGGGAGCGATGCTAGCCTGTCTGGTCCGATCACACAGAAGATATATTGTATCTCAAATTGCTGAAAAACGTAATGCTGGCCATGATGAAATGGTGTCCGAGCACACAGTGCATGCCTCACAGTTTTCTGCATATAGCCACAGACCAGTCAGAGTGCCCATGATGACCCCTGTCCACCATCAAAAGCGCCTTCAATGGGGCCATGAGCGTCAGAACTGGACCATGGAGCAATGGAAGAAGGTTGTCAGTCTGATGAATTACATTTTCTTTAAGATCAGGTGGATGGCCAGGTGTGTGTGCATCATTTACCTGGGGAAGAGATGGCAGCAGGATGTACTATGGGAAATACGCAGACCGGTGGAGGAAGTGTTCTGCTCTGGGCAGTGTTCTGCTGGGAAACCTTTGGTCCTGGCATTCATATGGATATAACTTTGACACGTACCACCTACCTAGAGATTGTCTTGTACACCCCTTCAGGGCAATGGTGTAACCTGATAGCAGTGAACTTAAACCGCAAAAAAATATTCAGAAAAGGTTTTTGAGGAACATGAAAAAGAGTTCAATGTGTTGTCTTGGTCTTTAAATTCCCCAGATCTGAATCCGATCGAGCGTGTGTTTAATTTGCTGAAAAAACAAATCCAACCCATGGAGGTGCCCAGGGACAATTTAGCCAGGAGGCAAACAAGCCATTTGCCTTGGGCGGCATTTTCCAGGGGGCAGCAAAAAAAGTAGCTCCCAAATGCCCAGGGCAAATGTCTTGTTAGCCTTGCGGCTAACTGACATGCCAGACGGGCTGCTGGGCGGGCGGCTGGTGAGGGAGCAGTTTCCTCTGAGCTGTCTGCTCAGCTCCCTCGTGCGCCGCAGAGTGAGGCTGGGAGCCAGAATATGACGTCATATTCCGGTTCCCGTCATCACTCTGCGGCGCGCGAGGGAGCTGAACAGAGTGCTCAGGGGAAAGTGCTCCCTCGCCAGCTGCCCGCCAGCGCTGCCCGCCCAGTAGCCACTGAACCCCCAGGGAGAACGAGAACCCCCCCAGCATTCCCAAAGGTAAGGAGGCTGGGGGGGGGGGTTTAATAAAAAAAAATTTTAATTTGAGGGAGTGTGCGTGTGTGTGTGTGTCTGTTAGTGTGTGTCTGTTAGTGAGTGTGTGTCTGTTAGTGAGTGAGTGTGTGTCTGTTAGTGAGTGTGAGTGTGTCTGTTAATGTGTGTGTGTGTCTGACTGTGTGTCTGTTAGTGTGTGTGTCTGACTGTGTGTGTGTGTCTGTTAGTATGAGTGTGTTTGCCTGTGAGTGTGTGTGTCTGTTAGTGAGTGTGTGTGTCTGCTAGTGAGTGAGTGTGTGTCTATTAGTGTGTGTCTGTTAGTGTGTGTCTGTGTGTATCTGTTAGTGAGTGTGTGTCTGTGTGTGAGTGAGTGTGTCTGTTAGTGTGTGTGTGCTTCTGTTAGCAAGTGTGTGTTTCTGTTAGCTAGTGTGTGCGTATCTGTCAGTGAATGTGTGTGTGTGTATTTGGAAGGCGGGGCGGGGGGAAGGGTTGGGTGGGAGGGCGGCGTCTGAGTTTTGTCCTGCCTAGGGCAGCACAAAACCAGGATACACCACTGGAGGTGCCACCTTGCAACTTGCAGGACATAAAAGATCTGCTGCTAGAGTCTTGGTGCCAGATAACACAGGAAATGTTCAGCGGTATTGTGGAGTACATTCCTTGGCACATCATAGCTGGTTTGGTAGCACAATGGAGGACCTACATGATATTAGGCAGATGCTTCTAATGTTGTGGGTGATCACAGTAAATATAAAATACAGCCCATTAAATTCCTAAATTAAAAGGATGAACTAGCCACCATAGAAACTTTAGATTATTACTTTAGATTATTTAAATGTGTATACTCTCACTGATGTTTTAGTCGGTTCATCCATACATTTGTCTGTCTTTCTATCTATCTAACTAACTATGGCCTCTATTTAATATTTTTGGATAATATTTTTAAATCAGTTAATATTATTGGCTAAACTTATAAATATATATATTTTTTAAATGTTCAAATATAAAAAATTTAATATATAAAAAAAGAATATCAATATCAATCAATATCAATATATCAAATATATCAAAATATTAAAATATTTTTTAATATATTATATCACTTTAAAAGTTTATCCAAAACATATTAAATCATTAGAAAAACATATCCAAAAATTTAATCGAGGCCTATTTGTATATATGTATACTGGCTTTTCTCAAGACACCATTAATGAAGTAGTTCAAACACAGGCAGTAGGTGAATAATGTTAAAAAAAATATAAATTTAATGAACTATTAAGCATAAACAAAGCAGAGTAAACAGAGACACTCCTATTTTAACTGTGTAATTCTGAAAGTTTCTCATCTCAATGCTAAAGAGAGTGCAGAGGAATAAGATTAATTGTATTAAATGAATGCACAGGTACAAATAGTGCAGAGGAATAAGATTAACTGTATTAAATTAATGCACAGGTACAAATACAGCAAATATTATAAGATTAAAATGAATTAAAGGAATAATACTCCATTACTTATAATCACGTAATCCATAGAATTTTAACATAAAATGTTATGATATTCTTTATTCTTTTCATAACTCATTGTAAAATAAGGAAAATTACATAAACAATCATATGTGCTTAGAGCATCTATTATTCTACATGTTTCCTAAAACAATTACGTAAATTCTGAATATAGTATACTAGGGACATCTAGTGGATGTTACATGCAAGTGACACTTCTATAATAAATGTGAGCTTCACAACAGAAAATAATGCAGGAGATTGTCAGGATTATTCACTGAAGTCTGGCTGCATTCAGGGCCGTTCAGAATGCAAAATCTAGACATTGTTGATGGA